AGGGTCCTGGGATCGAGCCCCGCATCAGGCTCCCTGCTCCGCGGGAAGCCTGCTTCTCCCTCTCCCACTCCCCCTGCTTGTGTTCCCTCTCCTGCTGTGCCTCTCTCTGACAAATAAATAAAATCTTTAAAAGCTACGGCAGCTTCTGACTGCTTGCTTTGGGGCAAGCTGGCCACCATGCCTGAGGGGCCCCTGGAGGCCCTATAAGGGAGGAACTGAGGCCTCCTGCCCACAGCCAGCCCCAGCTCACCGCTCATCTTGGAAGTGGGTCTGCCAGCACCCGTCAAAGCTTCAGATGACCTCGGCCCTCACTGACCTCTTGACTACTGTCTCTTGAGAGACTGGGAGCCCACACTGTCCCGCTGAGCTGCTTGTGAACTCTCGATCCATAGAAACTATGTGCGATAGTAAAGGTTTATTGCTATGTTAAGCTCTTAGGTTTGGGGGATAATTTGTTATGCAGTAGCAGATAACTGATGCAAATCTGTGCAAGTGTAAGTGATAGTCCAGAGAGCCTGGCTGGGACTCTGAAAGTAGGACTCTGCTGCCGCGAGGAGAGACCTTTCCTTGATCAATCAATGGATCGACTCATTTATTCATTCAACAGATCTTTTTTTTTTTAAGATTTATTTATTTATTTTAGAGAGAGAGCGAGAGAGAGAGCAAATGGGAGGAGGGGCAGAGGGAGAGAGAGACAAACAGAAGCCCCGCTGAGTGCGGAGCCCGATGCGGGGCTCGATTCCAGGACCCTGAGATCATGACCTGAACTGAAATCAAGAGTTGGACACTTCACTGACTGGGCCACCCAGGAGCCCCTCAACAAATACTTCTTAAGTACTTACCATATATGTCAGGCACTATGCTGGGCACTGGGGACACAAGACTCAATGGCAGGGTCCTTCCTGGGGGAGCTCACAGGCTCCCCACAGTGATGCAGTGCCTGTTGGATATGGAGATGGGAGGACAAGGGAGATGTCCGTGACAAGCCCAGTTTTCCAGTCTGGGCACACGGATGGCTGGTGGCGTCATTCACTGAGATAAATGGGGGACAGGCGACATCTCAGGAGAGAAGCTTTGGGTATGTTGATTTTGAGGTGTTTGTGAGAAATCCAGTGACACTGTGTGGGCTGTCAGGTATGAGGGCTGAAAGCCCCTGGGAAGGCCCCAGCCAGAGGCACGTCTGTTTGGGAACCATGGCAGTACAGACAGTGGGACTGAAGCAAAGAGAGGGCAGGCTACCCAGGCAAGAGGAGGGGTGGGGTAAAATGACAGAAGGCCCAGGACTAAACCCTGAGACACTAACGGTTTTTCTTTCAACTTTTTGTTTTGACATAATTTCAGACTTACAGAAAAGCAGTGAGGCCATTACAAATATTTTCCACATACTCTTCACCTAGATTTCCCAAATGTCAATATTTTATCAGATCTTAAATTCTTTTCTATGTATATACATATTTTTTCCTGAGCTAATCCACAGTGAGCTGCAGACATGGCTCTCCTTCATCCTTATACACTCCAGTGGCTCTTTCTTTCTTTTTTTTTTAAGATTTTATTTATTTATTTGAGAGTGACAGTGAGAGAGAGCACAAGCAGGAGAGAGGAGCAAGCTCCCTGCTAAGCAGGGAACCCAATATGGGGCTCGATCCCAGGACCTGAGATCATGACCTGAGCAGAAAGGCGGAGGCTGAACCGACTGAGCCACCCAGGCGCCCCATCTGGTAGCTCTTTCCTAAGAACAAGGACCTTCTCTTTCATAACCAGACAGCAATGATCAAAATCAGGAAGTTAACATTGCTACCCTATTTTTAACCAGCTACAGACCTTCGTTCCGTTTTGCCAATTTCCCCAGTAGTATCCTTGATAGCAAAGGAGAATCCCAGTTGCTGTATTGCGTTGAGTTGTCCTCCCTCTCGATTTCTATTGATCTGGGAAAGTTCTTTCCTTAAGTGTTTCTTTGTCTTTCATGACATTGCCCTTTTCAGCAAGTACAGACCAGTTTTTGGTGAAGTGAATCTTGATTTGAGTTTATGTGGTTTCTTCATAATTGGGTTCGGGTCATGCATCTGTGGCCGGAATAGCCCAGAAGTGATGCTGTGCTCTCTCAGTGCATCCTCTTGGAGGTATACCACGTTTCTCTGGCCCACTGTTGGTGATGTTAATTTACATCACTTGGTTGAGGTGATGCCTGCCAGGATCCTCCCTGTAAAGTTACTGTTTTCCCCTTTGCAATGAATAAACTTAAGCCAACGTTGAAAGGTCAGGTTGAGGAGGAAGAGCCAGGAGGAAAGCTTGTGAAGGGCAGTGGGGACATGGGATCAAGACCAAAACAGCTCGGAGCTGGGAAGAGGCGCCGAAGGAAGGGAGTGGTTGGTTATTGGGTCCGGGGCAGGCGGGAGGCCAGTCCGGCAGGGGTGAAGTGTCCCCTGGCTGCAGCTTCCCCAGGCAGGTTGTCATCTAGGGGTAGCGATGCCTTGAAACCAGCCTGCAGAGAATAGAGACAACAGGAAAAATGCTTCTCAGGGGAGGTTGGTCTGGACGGGGCAGAGAGATACAGGCCCTGGAGGCGACGTGTGTGTGTGTGTGTGTGTGTGTATGTGTGTTGGGGGGTCAAGTAGATGGTTTCTAATACATGGAAGGGACGTAGGGTATGGAGAGCGTGAGGGGAGGGGCCCATGTGAAAGGTCAATCGTCTTTGATTAGGCAGAGGGAATGGAAGAAGGTGTTGGTGAGTCCTCCTGGGCCGCAGGAGGCAGTGGGAGCCGGGGGTCCCGATGGTGTGGTGGGGCGGGTTTGGGTCAGAGTCCCGTCTGCTGGCCTGTTTCCACTGTTGGGAAGGAGGGGGTGCAGGGGGCTGACAGGACATGCAGAGGGGAATGAGCCACGCTGGAAACGACCTCGGGGAGAGGACGAGAGCAAGCTGACCAGCGTGGACATGGACAGTTGGCGGCATGGTGACAAGTCCAGGGTTCGGAGGCCGTGATACTAATCCCAACAGCTTTTCACTGCCTGGTGCAGGCAGACAGTTGGACCTGGGGACTCAGCAGCCGCACAAGGAGGGCAGTGAAAGCAGGAGGGGACCGAGGGAGAGGGAGAAGGAGCGCAGTGAGCAATGGGGTCTCGGCGCTAGCAGGCGATTTGTGCATCCAGACTAGCAGAGTGACAGGATGTCAGCCAAGGTGGTGTTCCAAAGGGAGGCATAAGGTCAGTGCCGTGGGCCACGGTGAGCAGCTCAGGATGTGCTGGGGAGAGGGGGCTGTGAGGGAGTGGAGGGGAGGTACTTGGAGAGGAGGAGGTCTGGGAACTGGGAGGCCAAGGGACGGGTTGTCCTTCGGAAAGCCTCAGTCCCCTGGGTGATGGCAGGGGCAGGGTGGGTGGGGAAGAAGGTCATGAGCCAGGGCCGCCAGGTTTACGAGTCAGGACAGATGGCCACCCTGAGCAGATGAGGGGGGCACCCTGGACACTGAAGCCCTTGAGGGGTGGTACTTTTTAAAGGGAGGGGACACTGCCCCCGGGTGAGTAGCAAGGAGACCAGGGATCTGCTCCACCTTGGACTCTGAGGGGCGGGAGTGTGAGAGACAGAACAAGCAGCTTTGGAGAGGACCAAGGCTGTCTCCAGGGTGAGCTAGGTTTCTGTTAAAGCTGGAAAGAAGGGAGCATTTGGAGCAGAAGTAGGGTGGCTTGTGATGGGCTGGGGTGTAGGGTGGCTCAGCTGCCCCCAGAGAGCCAGGCACACAGGCGACAGACGGGAGCAGTCCGGGGCCGGGTGGCCGGGGGGGGGGGGGGGCGCGTATTGTAGGCAGCCTCCCTAGGTCTGAAATACTTGGAAACTCCACCCCGCCTGCCGCCCCAGATCAGGAAGGTAGAGGTCTCAGCCCCACATCTGGCCCCTGTCAGCATGAGGGGACCATCAGGGCTTGAGCCCAGCAGGCCCGCAGCTTCCTCCAGGAAAAGCTGACAAGGATGGGGGTGAGGAGGCGGCACTGCCCGTGGCCCAAGGCCAGTTGAGGCCAGGCCAATCCTAGCCTTGCGCAGCCCTCTCTCTCCAGAAATCAGAGGAATCAGAGGCTTGGCGGCCCCCTGGGTGATGTGAGGGACAAAGGGGGGTGTCTGCGGCCACTGGGTGGGACCCTGCCCTCTGTTCTGAGCCAGTCAGTCCTGCAAGGGCTTCTGGAGTGCCCAGCACATCTGGCCTGTCTGCTCCGAGTCCTCATCGTGCCTGCTGGCTGGAATGAGCTCAGAGCGGGGTTTGGTTTCCATTAGATCAGAGGCTGTGAGCCAAAGAGAGCCCTGGGTTTGTGTCCTGGTTCTGTCTCTGCTGCTGATACAATGGGAGACTTTGGGTAAGTCCTTGCCCCTTTGGGGGACTCAGCTTCTTTATTTACGTACCAGGGCTGTGACAGACACCCTCTCTAAAGCCAGGGGTCATCTGTTCCCAAGACAGAAACCCCTCTTAGCTGGTTTGGATCAAATCCCCAGTCTGAGCTATGAACTGGTGGGTGCAGGCAGGCCCTAGGGCCCCCAAACCTCCTGGGTTTTAGGGAGTGAAGGCATCCCCAGCATTTCCTCCGCCCTGGGGCTCATCAATCAATCATTTGGCAGTTGGGTGTCTTCTCTACCCTCAATGTTCCCTCTCACACTGCCCCTACCCCAGGGGGTACTCTGGACCACAGGCACAGGAAGTGCCTTGCTTCTTAAGGCTTCAATGCCATCCCTCCATCCTCCTTATTTGCTCCCCATTCCCTGCCTGAAATGCCAGCAGCGGGCAAGCAAGCATTCCCTGAGCTAGACATGGATCTCTAAAGACACTGTGCCCAGGGATAGGAGTCCGGGAAGCTATCACACAGTTACACCTTAGTGTGAAATAATCGGTTTGATCATTTTCCAAGGAGAAACAGACAGAAGGGAGGGCGTGTCCAGAACCTGCAGGGATAGATGGGAGGGGCAGGGGATAGAGGGCCACCCCAGGGGACTTTCCAGGATGCGGGAACATTTCCCCCAGGATCCACCCACACTTTCCATTCCTTTCTCTGACTTCAGGGCACCCACTAGTAGAGAAGAGCTGGCTCTGTCACTCCCCCTCTCCCTTTTCCTTCCTTGACTCGGGGTTCTGGGCACCCTCAGGCCATGTAGCCTGGTTGGGAGTAGGGGGCGGTGGGGCCTAGTTTTCAGGGTTCTATAGCTGAGCTGCCATGGTAACTGGGGGAAATAAACACTCCGAGTTTCACGGCCCAAGTTCTGCGGTGATGTCATCCCTAGCTCTAGCCTGCTAGGTCCTGTGGCTGGCTGCACCCCAGGCGGCCTCAGCTGCTCAAGCCAGAGGATTGACTTCCTTCCCAACCCCCAAGCAGCTTCTCGAGTTGGGGAGAGAGTGGACACAGGGGCTTGAGCAAGGGCATCTGGAACAGGCTCCACACAGGCCTAGCCCCTTGCCCACCACTTGGATCTCTCAGTAGCTATTTGCCCCCTCTTGGGCCCCAGCCATGAAACTGCCCAAGGGGGCCAGGAACTCTGTGTTCAATGGGCAGGGCCCAGAGGAGAAAGTTCAGGTGCCCTCATGGCGGGAGGTAAAGCAGACCCCTGTGATCATGGCAATGATCAAAGGTGAGAGCAGGCCCCTGTCCTGAGCTTGGATTCCTCTCTCTACAGGGCTGCGGAAGGTGCCCCAGCCTTCCAGCCCTGCCTCCCGCAAAGCTCTTGAGGATTCTCCTCCAAGCCCACAGAAGATCTGCACCTTCAAGCTGAACCCCAGAGGCAGTATTAGCTGCTGGGACTTTTCATGGGGGTAGGAGTGGAAGGGAGCACGGTGTATGATTTTCCAGTTTTGGAAAAAAGCTAGGGATTCGAAGGAGGTTTTAGCCCACCCTTAGCTTTCCTCACTTCCCTTGAATCTTACCCTACACTGAAAGCAGACAAACTAATTCTTTTTTTTTTTTTTTAAAGATTTTATTTATTTATTTGACAGAGAGAGAGATAGCGAGAGCAGGAACACAAGCAGGGGGAGTGGGAGAGCGAGAAGCAGGCTTCCTGCCGAGCAGGTAGCCCGATGTGGGACTCGATCCCAGGACCCTGGGATCACGACCTGAGCCGAAGGCAGACGCTTAACGACTGAGCCACCCAGGCGCCCAGACAAACTAATTCTTACTACATTGTTAATGACTGATTGTTGGTCTATGTGGGAGGTGGTTTAGTATGTGATTATATGATTGCGGTCTCTTGGCTGATTGTCTCAGAATTTTCACATTACCAGGCTTGTGTGACTTTGAGCAAACTGATATTTCTAAGTCTCATTTTTCTCATCTGTAAGATGGGAAACACAATAGTATCAATTTTATGGAGTTGTTGGGAGGCTTAGCTGAAATAATCCGTGTTAATACTTAGTGTAGTGCTTGGTGCAGAGTAAGTTCTTGGTTAATTGTAACTATTATCTTTCATATTACCTGTTGCCTGTCTAAGACACATTGCATTTTATCTGGGAACATTGTCTTTCCCCCAAAGGAAGCTCGATGGTGGGATTTGCGGCAGTGTGACGTCAGCAGAAGCAAAGATCCCAATGTTCTCATGGCACACTGGGTTCGGGGCTTCCCTTGCCTCTGATCCCGTGCGCCGAGGCTGAGGGCTGCCCTGTCCATCCTCGCAGGTCCGGGCCCGGCCAAGTACCTCCGACCATCTGGCACCGGCTACTTCCACCACGACATCTCCATGTTCCAGGAGCCAGCCTATACTCTGCACACGAGACACTCGGAGAAGCGTGAGTGCTCGCCACGCCCGTCATCCCCTCGGGCTCAGGATTACTATTGTTGGATGTTTGGGGTGGCAGTGAGAAGTAGGGAGCCATTACCTGTAGCCACGGGACCCTGGGAACCCAGGCCTGCCCTGCAGAGGACACCCAGGTGGCTCACTGGGTCCTGAAGGAAGCCAGCAGGGATGCCCAGGTGACCCACACCTCCAAAGGCCGCTCCGTGGGGAGCTCCCAGCTGGACCTCCTGCGGGAGCTCTGAAGGGCGGCTGGGGCTGTCCAGTGGGCAGGGGAGTCTCCTCTGTCTCGTCTTGGGCCAGGGCCCCTCAGCTCTGGCTGCTGTGGGTTCACTTGTCACAGAAGTTGGGCAGAAATAGCTGGGGAGGGGGGACTCTGGTGGGAATGGTGGCCCCCCCAAGCTTCGCAGTTGGCTTAGAACCCCCTGGAAGAGCAAGAGCAGAAAGCCGCAGAAGAACTCTGGCTGCTGGTCAAGGCCAGTGAGAGGAGAGGGTGGGCAGGGGTGTTGAGCAGTATCTCTGGGGCTCTGAGATCTAGAGGCCTGCTGGGTCCCTCCCTGGCGTGACATGGCCTCCTCAGCAGGGGAACCGCCTGTCCAGGGCTGGACCCCTTCTTAGTACTAACAATAGCCACTGTGCCTATTATTACCCCTTGGCACCAATCCCCGATGGGAGCTGACCAAGCTGCTACACAGCTGTTATTTTATCTGCTTCTCCGAGCAAGTTCTCAAGACTGGTAGGTCATGCATTAAAAGCCCCATTTTGCAGACAAGGAAATCAAGGGTCGGGAAACACCCAAGAGCCCAAGGAATCGGATGCGAGCCCTCACTTATCTACTGGGCAGAGGGGATCTTCACCCGGTGGCAGGCCAGGCTCACCCTAGGGCGTCCTCTGGGGCTGACTGGGCCTCTCTGTGGCTGCCTGCAGGGGTCATGGACGTTTGCAGCCCTGGGCCTTGCTATTTCTTGGATCCCAAAATAACCCGGTTTGGAATGTCCAGCTGCCCACAGGTTCCCATGGAGGAACGCATCTCTAACCTGCGTAAGATGGGACGGGAGAGGGGTGTGGGGGTTGGGAGGATGGGGAGCGGGGGTCCACCCTTAGGACCTGAGCAGGGACAAAGGGTCATGACTCCCCTTTGCCAGGTGTGTCTTTGGATCCTGGCATCTCCCTGCAAGCTTATATCAAGACTCTGATGTCACCATGTCAGTGTCACAATACTTAGGTCTTGAAGCCAATGTTATGCATGTGTGGCAGCAGGCAAGGTTATGATAAAAATGTCATGGGGGCTCATGGTGCACCAGGGATATTGCCATGCTAATGAGCTCACAGACTGTAGTGATTTCAGGATGTTTTCTGGGTGCTGTCACGGGGATGATATCAGGATGCCGACATCCCAAGGGTGACGTTCTGACGACACTTGTGATTTTTATCTTATAACAGTGTCAATCCTGATGTCACTGTGACCTAAGTCCCTCCCCCTGCCCATAGCCCTGTGCAGGGGTGGTGATGTCCCTGCCCGACGATAAAGTGGTTATAGTAACATCAAGCAGGCTCACCAAGACCTCTTACCTCTCTACCTGGACCCATCAGTTGGACACCAGGAGATGTGGCCTGGCTCCCACCCTGAGACCCTTCCCCTCCATTTATCCACTTTCAGGCCTGAGCCCCAACCCAGCCCCCTGCCATTACCACTTGGAGAAGACCCACCCACCTGGGGAACGCAGGGCTCCCCAGTGTGCTTTTGGCTACCGGTGCCCGTACAGAGTAATGGACCCCAATCCAGCCCCCAATCAGTACCAGCTGCCACTCTTGCTGGGGCCCAGCAACCCCGTCAGCCGAGCGGCTCCTTGCTATAGTTTTGCCTCGGGGCACAAGAACTGGTTCTACAAGGAGAATGTGGCAGGAGGCCCTGGGCCGGCCGTGCATGCCCGGCCTGAGCCCTCCGTTTACCAGAACCGCAGCCCCGTCTACAACATGGCCAAGCGATTCGCCTACCCGATGGACCACACACCTCGGCCTGGCCCAGGCTCGCACGACGTCCAGCAGGTCACAGTGCACAAGCCCCGCCCGCCTGCTTTCACCATGGGCATCAAGCACTCACTCCACCTATGCCCACTGGTCATCGACATTCCCGACTAAGCCCCCTCCTGGGGCACTCACCCCCCACTCCCCACAGAAGTTATTTTTCTATACTGAACTGAGCAATTTACCAAGGTTTCAAGTAGTAGGGCTGGTGCCTGGTGTGTCTAGCGCACAGAAGGCATTAGATAAATATTTTCACTTATTCAGTTTTTTGTTTTGCAAACATGGTTGCTTCCTTTGGGGCCTGCCCTGGGTGAGGGGCTGGGATCCTGGGAGGCATTGTAGGGGTCCCTGTCTGGAAAAAGGTCTGTCCCGGCTCAGCAGGGGAGGCAGCCAGGAGCCCTGGGCAGAGACTCTGGCCAGCTATGTTCTAGTCTGAACTCTGCCACTAACGTGCAATGTGGCCTTGTGCAGCTCCTGTCCTCTGGGCCCCTCAGGGCTGCCCTTGGGACAGTGAGGGGGGAAGCGTAGGCCTGGAGCATGTCCAAGTTCCCTCCAGCTCCACAACGGTGTGACTGTGGTCCCTGACAGGGGTCAGCATGCGTGAGGAGCAGGGCAGAGGAGGGAGGGGTCGTCTGGTCAGGGACAGGGGTCCAGGGGGTTTTTCCTGGCAGAAGGACACAAGAAGACAAGTGGAGATGGTGTGTAGCGGGGGGTACTCTTGGTGTCTGTAAAGATGAGAGCAAAGACAGGCACCCGGGACCGAAGTGCGCGGGACAGGACCCTGGGGTAAGCTCTGAGGGCAGGAGCCTGGGCTGCAGCAGGTTGGCCAATAAGAGGACCAGGTTGTGGGCCACTGGAGGGCACTCAGGCTTTGTCCTCAGCGTGATAGGGCTAGTTAAGATGCGTGATTTTCAGGATTCTTTGGGCAGTGAGAGAACGTTGGACAGAATGGGCAGAGCCTGGAGGCCGCAGACAGCCTAGGAGGAGGCAAAGGAGGCCAAGCAGACTGCTTGCCGCATGTTGTCTTTGGAGAGCTGCTTGACTTTCCCCCGACTCAGCAACCTCGCCCTGGCCCTGCAGTGCAGGTTAGAGGAGGAGAGGAGGAGCCCCCCACTAGCCAGGAGGGGGCAGTGTTGCCTTACTCATGAGTCCAAGCCTGGCGCACCCTGCCCCACCCCACCCCTTCCAGCTCTGCCGCTTTGGGGAAGGTAGGTGCCCGCTCTCCTGCGGGTCTCTGTGGAGGCTGGGGCCGAGTTGGAGCAATATTCAGGTTTTAACTGAAAATGAAAGTTGAACTGAAGACCTAACTTTGGATAGAATCAGAGAATATCTTTGGAATATTAAAACAACAGTCACAAATAGGGACTTGTAGGAAAGCCCGCTGGGATCATACCTGACTCTGGGCCCCGAAATCCCCTGCCCCCTCCCCCACCGCGCTAGCCCCCAGGCCTGGGGTATATGTCTGTCCTGTCCTCCCCACTCCTCAGCGAGGCTGGTCTGGGCAGGCTCGAGAGAGAGCCAGTGAGCTTGGGGACCCATCTGTCTTGCAGCAGATTAGAAAGATGTCATTTTGCCGACAATGCCATTTATCACGGTGGCTACAAAAATTAGGGATGCTTGGCCGGAAGTACTGGGTGGGGGTGGGGGCTGGCGGGTGGCAGCACCTACTGCTGTCCTGTGTCGCCGGGTCAGGGAAGCTATAGGCCAGCCTCTGAATCATGTTTTTTGGATTTAGTGCCTATCCCATTCCAAGGCCCTCCACTGGAAAAATGAGGAAGCTAAGGCCCAGAGCCAGGGAAATAATGAATGGCCTGTCTCTAAATAAAGATCTAGGCTCATTGTGTGACCCGCTCAGTGTGCAGCTAGGTTGGGGTCAGTCTGTGACTAGAGTCAGGGCTCAGTCTGGGACAGACCCTCAGCTTGACAGGCTCCAGCTGCCGCCAGATATGGGTAGGGACTGGGTATTAGCCCCAAAGCTAGAAGTAACCCTTGGTTTGTGATCCCAAGGGAAGGAGAGGAGGCTGGAGGACTCAGAATGAGTCTTTGGGGGATGAAGATGTTTGGAAGAGAGATGGCCCCGCTAAGAAGGGGATGCGGCCTCTGTGGAAGATGAATGGGACTTCCCTTGTGCCTCAGCCCACAGAATGACAGGGTCATTTAGCTTGGGATTGACCTTTTGGCAAAGCAGTCCCCCTCTCTTGGCCTTGCCTCCTTTGTGGTGGTGACTGGGTAGGTGACCTGCAGAAGGGTGGTGGGCACGGCCTCCCAGGCCTGGCTGAGTGCTGACCCCATCCCTTCTGACTCGGAGCGGGGCCGGGGCACCCTTGACCTGGTGGGAAGCCCTGGTCTGAATTCTCAGAGGACTTAAACCTGTGCCCTCAGGTACTTGGGCCCTGGAGCCTGGCCCATGACTCACACAGACATGATGGTTCATTCATTCAGTAGACTTTTGCTGAGCTCCTGCCCTATGCCAGGCTCTGGCTGCACCTGGGAGCACCAAAAGACGGTGAAGGCCAGCCATACCCCCAGGTGTTCAGAGAGTGGCTCATGGGAGGATGAGAAGCAGCTCTCTCCAGCCATGAGCAGACAGCGGAGGGTTGATGAGGGTCCAGCGAATGGCAGGGTGCCCACCAGAGCTCCCTCCCTTCTCTCCGGGGGAAGGGAGAAGCCTGGCCTCCATGGGTCACCCCTGCCAGGGTCTGGTGGTAAAACTACAGTCACATGACTCTCCCGGACCCTGGCTGGGGGTCTCGTTCTCTGTCACTCTGTTGTTGCTGGAGAGACCCTGAGTGCCAATTGTCTCTCTGCCTCCCAGGAGCTGGGAGGATGGTGGGTGGCCCTGGGCCAGGAGCAACAGGGGCCCTGCCTGAGAGACACACTGACCCAACATACATGGGCACAGAGGTAGGGCTTGTGCAGAAACCCACGTCCCTTACCCACGTATACACGGAGACAAGACTCACACTTCTTGCAGTATGTGCTCACACGTGCATGTGCATGCACGCGCAGACACCACACCTCACTCTTCACACGTATACCCCGATACCAGACCCACTCAAACACGGCTTTATATTGCACTCACATGGAAAGAGAGACAGACAGACACACACATACATGCACGCACGCATGACACATCCACACAGACCCATAGCATACACTAGGGCTGCCTTTTCCTGCCACACCCCCTCTCCAGGTGCCTCTTTATTCCTACAGCCGCTCAGGCTCCCTCATGCCTCCCACTGCCCTGGAGAAGTAAATAATGAGAACGCCCCCCTCCTCTCTGCAGCCCCATGCACAGGTGCAAGAGGGCGTGGGGTGGGCTGTGGAGGGGAGGTTGGGACAGTCTCCATGCTCAAGAAGGAGCTGGGACTCGAGCTGGAGGTCAGCCATCCAATCTGGGCCAGGTCATCCTGCCTCTGGATGGGGTGCATTTGGTTATGAGCCCTTGTCCATGAAGACAAGCCAGATCCCTTCTCTCGGCCTTCAGCACTCAGAGATGCCCACTCCAGGGGCCACCCAAGGACAGGAGGTCCTTGCCACCTGACAACCCTGTTCCTGGTCCTTGGCTGGGGTGCGTCTGAGGGGGCTGGTTGGAGAGCATATCCCCTTGGATTCCTGGGGCGGGTCAGAAGCTGCATGTCCAAGCTCACCCGAGGCAGAGTGTCTGCTGGGTCCTGATCCTTCTGGCTTCTATCCCTCTGTGTCCAGGTCTCCCCACCTGGGTCTTCCCCCTCTAAGTCTTTCTACCTCCCTCTGGCTCTCCTTTCTCTTCTCTCACTCTCCCTCTTGCTCTCCCAGTCCCTCGGCCCTGTTTGTCCTCGAGAATAAAGACCGACATTTTCAATTACCCCCAAAACACCAGAGCAGTTCCAGAAGGCCCTGACGAGGAGGATTGTGTGCTTGTGCGTGGCCTGTGGGTAGGTGTGGGTGCAGGCCACTGTCCTTTGTTCGCTTTTTCTCTTCTGGAGCGTTCATTTTTTCCTGGGGGAGGGGAAGCATGGTTCCCTTCAGGGAAGGAAGGGAGACAAAAGAGAGAAATAAAAAACTGTCATTGTTGTCTTGTAAACACGGTACGGAGTGCAGAGCGGGGCTCGCAGGAGAGATGTGACGGACTGAGGGAGAGTCAGGGAAGGAGAAAAGGGGGCCGAGAGAGAACAGCCACCACTACCTCCGGGCCTGGGATGTGTGGGTACCAGGCAGGGCTGCGAGGGGTGGAGAAGAATGAAAAGGTTGACCTGGGACAGTGGGAGGCACTCCGGGAGGGAGACCCTTAGACTGGGGAGGGGGGCAGGCCGGAGGGGGCCTCCAGGAAGCAATTCTCCTCTTGAACGTCCACCCCTGTGCCAGGCTCTGGGGACACCGAGGGCTGTCTGCTCTTGGGGGGGTGTGAAATCTACCTGCAACAAAGAGTTCAGCACCTAAGAACCTGAGAGTCTGAGAGTGTGGGCGACCGGCCCAGTAATGCACAGCCACGGGTGGGAGTACCAGGATTCCAGCCCCAATCTGTCCCTTCACACAGCCTCCTCAGGGGGCTGGTGGCTGGGAAAGAGAGTCGGAGACTTGGCTCTGCCACGATTGGTGTGTGACCTAGAATAAATCCTCCCCTCTCTGGGCCTCAGTTTCCCCATCTGAAAAGCGCAGAGAACTCTGGCTGCTCTGTGGGGCTGGGGGGAGGATCAAATGTTTGGATGTGGGTGGTTTCCCAGCTCTGGTTCCCTGGAGGAACCGAGGGTGTGGAGGGGCAAAGAACTCCCGGTCCTGGGGGTGGGCCTGGCCGGCAGCAGCTGCGGCCTCAGCAGCAGGAAGGAGGCAGGACCCCAGCTTCCCTCCCTGCTGCTGCCCAGTGGCAAGATTTGGGTACTGCAGGGGACGGGCTTGAAGGTGCCTCTGGTGAGTGTCCTCTGGTCTTCGGCCCAGTTTGCAGATGCTGAGAGAGGGAAGGGACTTGGCCTCGGGTCACTGAGGGAAGAAGCTTGGGCTGGTATTGGCTTTCAGGGCAGAGTGCTTCCCCTCAGCCCTGTGGTGCTCAGGAAGCCCCCAAGTGGCCTTAGGGCAAGAGTGGTGGAGCTCTGAATCCTCTGCTTGAAGTCACGTCCTCCAGGGATCCTTCCGGATTTCTTCCAGCAGGAAGTGGCCTCACTCCCACCCTGTGGCCCTGTATACATCCTCTCCTTGTTTTTTCTGCTCCACCTGCCCCGAACGGCTCCCTCTTCTCGTAGCAAATCAGGCAGTGGGACCCCTTAAATCATCAGGGGTGATGGAGGGCTGTCTTCACCACCTAGGGAGCACTTGCTGGGGGCCCAGCTCTGTCCTGGGACTTCTTCTGCATCATATCACTTGAACCTCATAACGACCCCATAAGGTCAGGATTACTTTTGAGCCCATTTTTCAGGTAAGGAAGCACAGAGAGGTTGTGACTCTCAGACACATAGTGGTGGAGGAGGGTTTCAGATCCCATCCACCCATTCTCTGGAGAGGAGCCCTTGTTTGGAGATGAAAAGTATCCCCAGGGTACCACGAAAATTCAGCTATGACCACACACTGAAAC